CCATGATTTGCCTGTATTGACAACCCACCGCTAAGGTGGATTTCTATGATCAGGTAAAACTCATGCTGAATTCCTGTGACTTCCAACAAAGAGCTAATTATTTTAGGAGACTTTAACATGAACTGGAATGACAAACAAAATAAAAAGAATTAAAACGGATCACGGATAACACAACTTAATACAACTAATGGATCAACTGACTAGAATAACCAAAACCCTCCAAGACTATTATAGAATTTATTATTACAAACAAAGCTGACAGAATAGTTAAACCTACAACTTACTGACTGTCTTTCAGACCATAATCTTATTCTTTTTACCAGGAAACTCACAAAAAAAAGGTTCATGGCCACACCTAAAACCCCTGCCTTCGGTTCTCGCTTCATCCCCAAAAATCTGCATCAACGTTTTATGGATGCAGTGAAAATGATTGATTGGGGGGACACTCTGTCCTCTGAAGATATTGGTGAAAACAGTGATCTGTTTATATCTAATATTTATGATACAATGTCTTCCTTCTCAAGGGGTGGGTGCCTTAGGGATAGGAAGGAACATCATGTTCCCTGGCTGAATCAACAATGCAGGAATCTAGAGACCAACTATTGAAGCAGAGCTTGAAATCCGGTCTATCCACTGATAGACAGAAATGCACTCATGCTTGTAACAAGGTAACACAAACAATAAGACAGGCCAAAGCTAACTTTTTCATCAATACAATTGAAGGTGCGAAAGGTAACGGTAAAAACGTTTGGCAAATCTTAAATAAACTATTAGGTAAACATACCAAACAGGAAAATAATGTTCTAGAATTAAAAATCAATGATGCCCTGATAAAAGACCCTGCCGTGTTGGCCAGCTTTCTCAATGAGTATTTCATAAATAGTGTTTTGGACATTACAAAGCTCTTCCCGCCATCTGAGGTCTCACCTACTGTAGCCCGACTGTGGATACACACCCTGTTTTTGACCTGGAAGAAATCACAGAGGTTGAGGTAAAACATATAATCTCAGGGTTAAGAGGTTATAAGGCTAGGGATGCATATGATTTAGACACCAACTTATAAAGACACATATCGA